CATGCCCCTGGCCCTGTCCTTGAGCCTGACATCTCAGCTGCCTCCACCCCACTGGCCAGCAAGCACCTAGGCCCCTTCCCTACCTCGTGGAACCACATACACTCACCTCAGCCCGGTCAGAGGACACAGGCCACCCCCCAGGTCCCCAACCCGACTCCTTCCGAGGGCGGGATTCCAGTCTTCCTGCTGGATGACTACAGTGAGGAGGAGGAGAAGGGGACGGAGGAGGAGGTGGGAGCGCCTTACCAGGACGTCTCCTGTGATTACCACCCCTGCAAGCACCTACAGACGCCGTGTGCAGAGCTGCAGAGGCGCTCGCGGTGCCGGTGCCCCGGCCTCAGCGGGGAAGACACCATCCCAGACCCGCCCAGGCTGCAGGGGGTGACGGAGACCACGGACACGTCGGCACTGGTCCACTGGTGTGCCCCCAACTCGGTGGTGCACGGGTACCAGATCCGCTACTCTGCGGATGGCTGGACGGGGAACCAGTCAGTGGTGGGGGTCATTTACGCCACGGCACGGCAGCACCCTCTGTACGGGCTGTCGCCGGGCACTACCTATCGTGTGTGCGTGCTGGCGGCCAACAGGGCCGGCCTGAGCCAGCCGCGGTCCTCCGGCTGGAGCGCGTGCACCGCCTTCACCACCAAGCCCAGCTTCGCGCTTCTGCTAGCAGGGCTGTGCGCTACCAGCGGCCTGCTGCTCGTTAGCACCCTGGTGCTGTCCGCGTGTCTCTGCAGGCGGGGCCGGACGCTCCGCCTGCAGCGCAGCGACACACACTTGCTGGCCTACAAAAACCCGGCCTTTGACTACCCGCTGGGGCTCCAGACGGTCAGTTAGGCCAGCTTCTGGGCTAACGCCTCCAATCGAACTGGATCTGAGCGCAGAAAAGATACAGAGTCAAAAACAACTGCATCCGCTCCTAGGGTTTCTAATTCCCGTGAAGCTAGAATGCCTTGGGCACACATGGAACTTGCCACATTGAGTTTCTCAGTCCAAGGAACAAATGCCCTCCCTTCCTTCTACTTCACACTCTGTTCCCAGAAACCTGATAGTAGATACCAGATCACTCCCAGTGCCGCTGGGCCTTCTTTTTTTTTTTTTTTGTTTTTGTTTTTTTGTTTTGTTTTTTGAGACGGAGTTTCACTCCTGTTACCCAGGCTGGAGTGCAATGGCGCGATCTCGGCTCACCGCAACCTCCGCCTCCTGGGTTCAGGCAATTCTCCTGCCTCAGCCTCCTGAGTAGCTGGGATTACAGGCACGCACCACCATGCCCAGCTAATGTTTTGTATTTTTAATAGAGACGGGGTTTCACCATGTTGACCAGGATGGTCTCGATCTCTTGACCTCGTGATCCACCCGCCTTGGCCTCCCAAAGTGCTGGGATTACAGGCTCGAGCCACCGCGCCCGGCCGGGCCTTCTTGCGTGTTGTTTCATTTGGGGTTTTCAGCAGTCAGTGGCCCTCTACCCAGTACAATAGTGAATGGAAGGAGGAGGGGATAAAACAGGGAAACTGCATAACCCAGCCTCCTCCGCCATGTTAGAAATCACATCCTCACGTCTTTCCAGCGGAAGCTCCTTCATGATCAAGCTCTGGCTGAGGCATAATGAGCTCTGTTAATTCAAGAAATCAATTCCAGTGGATTTCCAGTTCCAGTTCCTGAGAGCCGGAATAAGGGGGAGAGCTAGTGGTTGCTTCGTAAGGCCTTCTGGGTTTATTAGTTCCATTTCAGGACATGGCAAGAACATGTATTTCCATCTGTACAGTTAAAACCAGTTTTCTGGCAACGTCTGTCAAACACAGGGAACGGCTGTTCTTTAAAATCAGTGTTTACTGCATTCCACCTAAGACTACATGGACAAATGAACTATAAATTCATTTTTTAGGAAGCATAAACTTTTGGAAATCTTTTTTCCTAATTAGAGGGAAGAAATGATCAAAAGAGAACCCAAAACTCTAGCTAGAAGCCAAAAAGTTTCTCTGCCATAATTACATCAAACAATGCCTCAATATAATTTGTGTCTTCATGTGGGATGCATCCACTGTATCCTCTACTTTTTCACATTTATACAAACAGGGGAAAAAATGGTTCTGTGAAATTATAATTAAAGCCATATTTCTAGATTTTAATTTTCAACATCAGCATTTATTAATTTCCTGCAGCTGCTGTAACAAGTTACCACAACCTGGTAAAACTGGCTTAAAACAGCAGAAATTTATTTTCCTACAGTTCAGGCCAGAAATCCAAAATCAAAGTATCAGTGGGGTTTTTCCCTCCTCTTCTAGCTTCAGACAGTCAGCAGCAATGCTCGGTATTCCTTAGCTTGCAGACATCATTCCAGTCTATCCCTCCATCATCTCACACATTCTCTGTCTCTCTGTTCACATTTCCTTTTTCTTACCAAAAAAGCTAGTTATTGGGTTAAGGCCCACTGTAATCCAGTATGACCTTGTCCTAATTTGATTGCATCTAAAAAGACTCTATTTCCAAATAAGGTCACATGTACAGTACTGGGGGTTTGAACTTGAACATATCTTTCTTAGGGGACACAATTCAACCCAGAATAGCATTTACTTCTACCGTAAGAAGAAAAGAAATCAAGTTTGAATCCCATGTATCTTTTGTTTCCAAACCAAGCTGCAGAAGCTAAAACTTAATTGCACTATGTATTTCCAGTGTGTGAAGTTTTGAAAGAGCTTCCCCAAACTGTAAGCTAGATCCCTAGTTTCATCACAAATATAACCTAGAGAATTGGACTAAATGATTTCAAAGATCTCCGCCAGCTGTTGCGCAAAGCTATGATGTTGTGGGCTTGTTAAAAAAAAAAATACACACAAAAAAACAAAACTGCAAAGCAAGGTTGGTGTGCACCTGTAATCCCAGCTACTCAGGAAGCTGAGGTGAAAGGATTGCTTGGGCTCAGGAATGAAGCCCCAACTCAAACACATCGCAAAAGCCAAAAATCTAATTACTACAGACATGTAATTAAATAACACTAATGCTTATTTTTAAGCTTACTATCAAGATTAAGTCTATTCTGTGAAGACACTGAAATGAATTTTCATCATTTTTGAGTCTATATGCAAGTATATATTCAGATATATCTAATATAATTTCAATGTTTTATAAACTGGCAGAATTGATGTTTTATAACAATTCAGTATCCAAAAGCCTGAGGAGACTTGGACCATTTTCCTAAGGTTGAAGTGGACAAAGTTTATTAACCAGAGCCAGATTGCAACCTTAATAATAAAGAGATTATGGGTCCAACCTGTAAGTCACTCCAAATGGCATCAACACTAAACCATAAATAAGCATAACAAGGTGCAAAGTTCTAAATTTTCCCATAACTACTTCAAGTCCTCCGTTTTTAAAACATTATTCTTACATGGTTTAACCCGTCACTAATGCAGAGACTCACTCAGTGTGCGTCTTGGGTGGTTCCGCAGTGGGAAGTCCACCTCCGGCCTTATGCTAACAATAACACTATTCTCCAGAGAACGAGAATAACCAGCTACATGCCCCACTTCTCTGCCTTTTCAGCCCCCTCCATCTGATTCAATGGCAGGCAGTGTCCCTGGCTGCAGGCTTCAGTATGCTCCAAGCCAAGCGCAGCTCAGCTGCTGGTCTGAGAACAAAGAAGCCAGGACCAGCAAGCCACAGAGGGACACTGGTGCAGAATGCCTGGCCAAGAGGGGTGAGTTTTACTTAGAGCCTCCCATTCTAATTTAATGCAGCTCAACAGGCTGAGAATGGATAATCTCACTGCAGGATTCCATAACAGGCTTGGATTAAAACCAGGGACAATGGGCAGCAGTAGGCCTCTACTCTTAAGCAGCGGCAACCGGTTACCACTGGACATGGTCTTCTTCTCCCCTTCCCCATATCCCACATTCTCCTAAACATGAGGTGTAGCAAGAATGTCTTTTAAAGTCAGACGGTCAAACTAATTATTTTTACAATTTAAGTGTAAATGATGTACATAAACGGACTTTGTGAATCAGAAAACTTATGTAATAGCAAAGGAGAAGTATGTTATATGGAACAATCCGAGTTGAAGGTACAATTTTTTTTTGCAGCTCTTTTATTCCTTTAACTTCTTAGCAAAAGAAGATTCTCCAAAGTTTAAAAAACCTTTGAAAAATATACAGCTTGATATTATTTACATGAGTACAGGTTCCAATGTCAAACAAACATTGCTATGTCAGAAACACAGTGGAAGGCAGGATGTAACTCACTGCCTTTTAGATGCAACATATTCTCCTATCTCAACTACCTGTGTTGCCTGTTGTCCTGATACTTAAATTATTAGGCACCTTAGATTTTGGAAGACTACTGAAAATGAATTTCATACCTTCTATTCTGTTTATTATCTTAAAAATCTACTGCATTTTAAATCTCTTTAATAACTTTACTTCATTCGCAACTAACTTCACTTTCATTATACCAAATAATCAGGTGTTAACTACATGAAAACAATGTATACACAGATCTAAAAATCAAACACAAAAATTTATTACCCCGTTGTGTAGGATATATATTTGAACCCCAAGACATTTCCTAGTATTTTGTGAGCAATTCAAATTTCACTTAGAAGAGAGGTGTCAACTCTGTCCATGCTATGGACTATGTTTTTAAAAAACATATAAAAAACTGATGACTGGATGCAGTGGCTCACACCTGTAATCCCAGCACTTTGGGAGGCTGAGGCAGGCGTATCACCTGAGGTCGGGAGTCTGCAACCAGCCTGACCAACATGGAGAAACTCTGCCTCTACTAAAAATACAAAATTAGCCAGGAATGGTGGTGCATGTTTGTAATCCCAGCTACTTGGGAGGATGAGGGAGGAGAATCACTTGAACCCAGGAGGCAGAGGTTGCAGTGTGCCGAGATCGCACCATTGCACTCCAGCCTGGGCAACAAGAATGAAACTCCATCTCAAAAGAAAAAAAAAAATAGACAATAATTGATCTCTTATAAATTAATCAAGAAACCTGAGATTAAAAATTCTAAATTATAGTTTTATTTGTATTTAAAAATACATTGGAAATTCTGCATATGACCATGATCAAAGCTTATTTTCAACGCACATTACTTAAATTTTGAAGACACGGTTGGTCCTGACAAGTCCTTTTTCAAGCTGAACACCAATATAGGGAAACTTGTAGATTTCCACGGACCCTATTGCCAGTGATGCATATTGCTTCCTTGCTAACGGTATTGGATGACTTTCATCAGTCTTTTATCACCTGCACAGTTTTCCGACCATAATGATAGTAACTGTAAGCCGATGCACCTGTGGTAAAAGCTGTACAACACCTTTTATAGAAGAAAAGAAATAACATTTAGTTGTCAAGTCTAAAAAATAGTAGCAGTGGGAATAATAATGAATACATGTAAAAGATCTGTTTTAAAAGTAAAAAGGGCTCTGTAGTGTAAATTTTCTTAACTATAAGAGTCTAAATACACTGCTTTTCTTTAAGACCTCATTTGAAATAGTAATGTCAAACAAAATTCTTCTACGTAATGAGCCCTAAAAATTACTACTACTGTCAACAGTCCTTTTTACTCAGGCATCCTCTAGGTGTCTTACATCCTCCTTTTATTCTTATAACATAAGACTCATCCTCCAGAGAAGGAAATGGAAGACCCAGAGAAATAACAGAACTATGTTTGAGCCTGACTTGGTTTCAACTCTAAAGAACACGTGCTCTTTCTACTGCCCCATGCTGCTCAGAGTACCAGACTCTATTTCCTGTAGCTTTTGAGAATTCTAAAGATATCTGAGTCATTTTAAATAAATTTCAGCTTTCTTTACTAAATTACCCTTAATCAGATTCTCCTTGAAATGACATCACTTGATGCCCATGGCATGCTGAATGCCCACAGCTAGGGGATTACTTTTTAGTGCACCCACATACTTCTGCTTTTATTAGGTGAGGCAGAATCAAGATTCCCTTTTGTTGGATCTTGAACCTGTTCATGCCACTTTGATATTCTAAATTCATGCATAAACCAATGAAATAAATGTGTTAGAAAAATTGCTATTTCTAACTGGATGCCGTGGCTCATGACTATAAGCCTACCACTTTGGGAGGTCAAGGCGGGAGGACTGCTTGAGGCCAGGAGTTTGAGACCAGCCTGGGCAACACAGTAAGACCCTGTTTCTACAAAAAATAGTAACATAAAAAATTAGTGGCTGGGCGCAGCGGCCCACACCTGTAATCCCAGCACTTTGAGAGGCCAAGGCAGGTGGATCAATCGAGGCCAGGAGTTAGAGAGTAGCCTAGCCAACATGGCAAAACCCCGTCTGTACTAAAAATACAAAAATTAGCTGTGTGTGGTGGCAGGCACCTGTAATCCCAGCTACTCAGGAGGTTGAGACAGGAGAATTGCTTGAACCTGGGAGGCAGAGGTTGCAGTGAGCGGAGATCAGGCCACTGCACTCCAGCCTGAGCAACAGAGGAAGGCCCTGTCCCAAAAAAAAAAAAAAAAAAATTAAATTAAAAAAAAAATTAGGTGTGGTAGCACACACCTGTAGTTGCAGCTGCTCAGGAGGCTGAAGCAGGAGGATCGCTTGAGGCCAGGAATTCAAGATTACAGTGAGCTATGATCATACCACTGCACTACAGCCTGGGTGACAGAGCAAGACCCTATCTCTAAAAAGAAAATATGTTTTTAAAATTGCTACTTCTGAAAACTACATTGGATACTTCAGAAAGACTCAATAGAGGTTACTTGATTAAAAAAAAAATACTGTCTCTCTTTTCATCGGTTCCTAGGAGGGGAAAAATACTGTCAAAATAAATATGCAAGATGACTGTGAAAAGACTGGGGAAAAAATTTAAACAGTTCTTAGACTGCTTTGCAAATGTTTTAAGTTCTTGCATCACCTTAAAGAAGTAAAACATGAAAATCAGAGAGGTTGGATTATGAATGCAGTTTATCCAAGAAAGAAAAAACTACCATTGATGGACCGATACTCAAAAAGCTGCCTTCCTACATCAGAAGGTATAAAATGAATCAGGCAAAATATACACTTCAATATTTTAGATTAAAATAAGTTTAGAGTAGTTGTCATTTTTTAAAGATTGCCTGGCTTAGGCCGGGCGCGGTGGCTCAAGCCTGTAATCCCAGCACTTTGGGAGGCTGAGGCGGGTGGATCACGAGGTCAAGAGATCGAGACCATCCTGGTCAACATGGTGAAACCCCGTCTCTACTAAAATTACAAAAAATTAGCTGGGCATGGTGGTGCGTGCCTGTAATCCCAGCTACTCAGGAGGCTGAGGCAGAAGAATTGCCTGAACCCAGGAGGCGGAGGTTGCGGTGAGCCGAGATCGCGCCATTGCACTCCAGCCTGGGTAACATGAGTGAAACTCCGTCTCAAAAAAAAAAAAAAAGATTGCCTGGCTTAACTGACTGTGATTAGCCACCACTTTCCGGTCCAGACTGCACCAAGCAAGATAATTTTAATTCTAGTTAAAAGTGTGCCAAAATATAACTCTCCAATATCAAGATGACACATTTTGAACTCTGAAAGCTTGAATTTGACAGTTTTAAGATGATAAATAAGCAATTAGTATAATAAAATTCCAACTCCTTTCTCCAGTTTTCCCTCCTACGACACTCCTTTCAACAGGCGGCACTCGGCTTCCCTACCCACTCTCCTACCCTCTGCCTTGGCTTAGGCCCTGTCTTTCACCTCGTGGCCTCCTCTTAGTCTCTTCCTACACAATCCACCTATGCCTCAGGCATCAAATGCCACTTCCTCCCTAAAACTTTCCCTCTTCTTCCTCCTCTAAAACCTTAACACATTATCAGTACCTTTTATCCCTTTTAATTTGCATAAAAGCTAACTTCTACATCCCATACTTGGCAGGAAGCTTCTTAAGAATGCTATCAATCACAAAACATAGCCACAGCTTTATCCAGTCAGTGCTCAATAAAGGCTGTAAGAATAAGGTCATTCTAGGGCTACCACAAGAAGACATTCTATTGACATTCTAAGCAAGTGATTCTAAATTTAGCTTACCACAGTATCTGAAGATAAATGCTGTCAGCATAGTTAAAAACTGGAGCTGCCAAAGAAGCTGCCACCAAGATTAACTGGACTGCTGTATTTACCTAAATAAAAAAAAGAAAAAGTTCTAAATGAATAGTGGCAACTGGACCCTATTTCAAGCTTTCAAGACAAAAGCACAGCCCATTACACTATAACATGACATACCCTCAGCATGCTTGCTATTCATCTACAATATCCCTGGCCCAAGAAGCTAGCATTCACAGGTGAGCACACACAAAAGGGTCAAATTCACTAACGGACCCATCTGTCTGCACGGCTGCCCTTTAGAGAGTAATGACAACCGTCAGAAATTACCGCTACCTTAAATTCCCATGGCAACTCAAAAATGTTACAAAATTATTTGCCTTTTTTCCAACTGCCCATTAAAATAGAATATGGAAATAACTACCTCTTCATGGATAAAAGGGTAATGAGTTGGGTGACTTGCCTGCAGTCACAGCAGACAACAGAACCAAAGCTGGAACCTAGATTTCCTGGGGCCTTATCCAATGTTCCTTTCAATTGCCTACCCGTCAAACCTTGTGAGGTTAGAAAACTAAAATATTAAAAAGTGGCATGTTCTGAGAAAAAGAAGAAAAAAAAAATAAAGAAAATTAAAATGTACTCATCCCAGGACAGATGCAGTGGTTCATGCCTGCAATCCCAGCACTTCGGGAGGCTGAGGCAGAAGGACTGCTTAAGCCCAGGAGTTTGAAGCCAGCCTAGGCAACACAGTGAGACGCAAACTCTAAAAAAATATTTAAAAATTAGCCAAGCATGGTGGCATGCACCTGTACTCTCAGCTACTTGGGAGGCTGAGGTGGGAGGATAGCTTGGACCTGGGAGGTCAAGGCTGCAGTGAGCTATGATTATGCCACTGCACTCAAGGCTGGGCAGACAGAGCAAGACCCTGGATCAAAGAAAAGGCACTCATCTCCATAAAAGAGCCTCTCTTGAGAAAGAAATGAGTAGTCTTTCCTACACTAAAAAACAGCACTGGAGAGAAAAGAAAATTGAATAAGAAATACACTGGAGACTCCCTCTGTCATCATGAGAAGCATTCCATGGAAGAGTCTGAAAGCATGAAAAAGCGAGTGAAGCAGACAAATGTTCTATCACCCATTTCTGCAGCCAAATGACAAGGATTCTGCTTCATTTCAAAAAACAGTTAATAGCTAGGTGCAGTGGCTCATGCCTGTAATCCCAGCACTTTGGCAGGCCGAGGTGGGTAGATCACCTGAGGTCAGGAATTCGAGTCTAGGCTGACCAACATGGTGAAACCCCGTCTCTACTAAAAAATAATTAGCTGGGCATGATGGCACATGCAATCCCAGCTACTTGGGAGACTGAGACAGGAGAATCACTTGAACCCTGGATGTGGAGGTTGCAGTGAGCCGAGATCACATCACTGTACTCCAGCCTGAGCAACAAGAGCAAAAATCCATCTCAAAAATAAAATAAAATATAACTGGGCACGGTGGCTCATGCCTGTAATCCCAGCACTTTGGGAGGCCGAGGTGGGCAGATCACGAGGTCAGGAGATAGAGACCATCCTGGCTAACATGGTGAAACACCATCTCTACTAAAAATACAGTAAGTTAGCTGGGTGTGGTGGCACACACCTGTAGAATAGCTCGAATTTGGGAGGCGGAGGTTGCAGTGAGCCAAGATTGAGCCACCGCATTCCAGCCTGGGCAACAGAGCAAAACTCCATCTCAAAAATACATACATACATACATGATTTTATCTAAAGGACTTCCTATAAGTATAAGGTACTTGTCCCTGTACCTCTTTAAGCCACTTTCCATGTACTGCTACACTCAAATTGCTATACTTGATATAAATACAAGTCACTTGAAGAAAAAAAGAAACCAAACCCTGTGCGTGTAGGTAAAAGTCCACCCCAGGGAGTTCTGTATAAAAGCAATCACCCCTCTCTCCCAAAAATAATGAGCATTCTTAAACTGTTAAATCCTTGACATTAAAGATGGGAAAAAAGAATGACTTGAGCAAACTTATCAAAGCTACTAGAAAAACAGATATGACTTGAGAAGCATTAATAGTATCCTTGGGATGTGCAAAGGCTGGCATATACTTGTCCTGAATGCTCAGGAAAACAGAATGGACAACAAAGAGTAGCAGCTGTTTATTAATGACCAAAACTTTCTCCTATCCCTTTCCACTTAACTGTCAATCCTGAAAATGAAAGGCCATTTAGTGTTTTCACCATAGGGAGGGAGGCAGTGAAACCACAAGGGACTCTTCATAATCTGTGAAACTCAATCAAGAAGCAGTTACAGGCAAACTTGGTGGCTCACTCCTGTAATCCCAATAATTTGGGTTAAGCAGGAGGATTACTTGAAGCCAGGAGTTCCAGACCAGCCTGGGTAACAAAGTGAGATCCCATATCTACAGAAAAGTTAAAAATTAGCTGATTCAGTGGTGTGTGCCTGTAATCCCAACAACCTGGGAGGCTAAAGACAACCTGAGCCCAGGAGTTCAAGGCTATAGTGAGCCGGGATCTCGCCACTGCACTCCAGCCTACACAACACAGTAAGACCTTGTCTCAAATAAAAAAAAGCAGCAATTACATTTCAATTCCCTTTCCCTAAACAGTGGCCCAATTACCTCATTCAGAGCTTAAACTCTCAGACCACCAACAAGGCACAACACATATAAGGATGATCCAAATAACATGGAAGACAAAAGAACTGGGTTACAGTTGCCTGCCTAACACCACTCTCTAGCCTCTATATGCAATGCATTTAAATTTGTCTCATTTTCAGCTGTTCTTGACTGAGGTTTATATCTAGAATAAAAATATACAAAGGAATAAATTTAAAAAACACTGCATTCTCTTACCTTGCTGATGAATGTTGGTTTTAACCTAGCAGTGGCATAGCAAGGATTGAAATACTTGGAAAGTGTTCGCTGGCAGAGGATAAAAAAATATAAAGTATTTAATTTATTGTTTAAAATAGATATTTTATTTAAAATAGACATTTTGTTATTATAGTTAGGTACATAATTTTATAAATCATACAATCAATATATACTGAAAATTGATTTTTAAAAATGTATAGATTATTTCTCAATTGCTGTAAAATTCAAACACAATACTTATAAAGTTTGCTTTATAAAGTTTTACTAAACTCAAAATTCCATATTCACTATTTTTTTAATTAAAAAATAAAATGAACAAAATATTGCTCTATTTTCACTAGATGGGGAGCCAAAAGAGGTTAATATGCTATGTGTATGTGCTCATTTATAGAGCTCGTGAATAAATACGCAAACAAATCATCCCATGTTCATACAACTGTGATTTTTAAAACCAATTCTAGACTATCCATGGTAGAGGTTAAATTAGACAACAATAATGGCTTGGACCTACGTGAGACACCTTTAAACAATCAGCTTCTAGGGATAAGGGCTGGCTGGTCTGGTTTCATGTGCCATCAATTGAAGAGGTTGACTTAAAAAATATATTTTTCTTCCTTAAATCATAAGTAATGCTAAAAGAATACTTTTTGAAAACAAACTCACTGGTGTTGGAAGAGTTCGGTATCTGACATAAAAAACAGCAGCAATCAACATTACATCTCTTGAAATGATCATATAAGTAAGTGGAACTGAAAATCAAACATAAAATAATTTTAATTGGGATTCTGAAAATTAATATACATTATGAATACAATAACATCTCATTCAGCCTTACCACAAACTGTTTTCCACAAATAGAATTTTATTTTTTGAGACAGAGTTTCACTCTAGTTGCCCAGGCTGAAGTGCAACGGCACAATCTCGGCTCACCGAAACCTCTGCCTCCCGGGTTCAAGCGATTCTCCTGCCTCAGCCTCCCAAGTAGCTGGGATTACAGGCACCTGCCACCACACCCAGCTAATTTTTGTATTTTTTAGTAGAGACAGGGTTTCGCCATGTTGGCCAGGCTGGTCTCAAACTCCCAACCTCAGGTGATCCGCCCACCTTGGCCTCCCAAAGTGCTGGGATTACACGTGTGATCCACCATGCCTGCCCACAGATAGAAATTTTATAATCAACACCTATCAATGGTTTAGGGTCCCCTATAGCAAACCACTGATTTTTATGTTCTTTAACCCGCCCTCAAAACAAAGTGAAGTATAGACTATGGCTTTGAAGTCTATATCTGTCTTTCAGCATGCTGATCCTCTCATCTGTTTTTGTTTTTTCTTGCATGTTTTTAAGCTACTAGTCTGCAGTTATCAGCATCAGCTCTAATTAGCACTATCTCCTCCTTTGTTACTTCTCAGCTCTGTACATCTGAAAAAAGATCACCATACTCAGAATTACACAGAAAGAGATGATAAAGAGGTGGAGAAGGATGTGGGAGGCCTCAAACTCTTCTGGAATCTCAGGACCTTTGATTGCTTGTTCTGCATATTCTCTGAAGAGTAAAATTAGCTGTTATGTGTAATTAGTAGAGAAACAGAATTTTTTTTTTTTTTTTTGAGACAGGGCCTTGCTTTGTTGCCCAGGCTGGAGTGCAGTGGCACGGTAACAGCTCACTGCAGCCTTGACCTCCTGGGCTCAATGCAATCCTCCCACCTCACCCTCCCAAGTAGCTGAGAACACAGGTGCACACCACCATGCCTAACTTGTATTTTTTGTAGAGAAGGGATTTCACCATGTTTCTCCAGCTGGTCTAAAACTTCTGAGCTCAAGCGATCTGCCTGTCTCAGCCTCCCAAAGTGCTGGGATTACATGTCCATGAGCCACTGCACCCAGCCAGAAATATTTCATACTTATCCAGCCAGTTCCTTCCCAGGAATTGTGATTTTGCTCCTTGCCCTTTCAATGAATTCAACTTGTCAGCAGTTTTGTCATTATTCCTCAGATTTTACAACATGGTCCCAGAGCCATAGCCAATAGAAGGATATTTTAAAATAAATACCCAAGGAGCCCCCATTCCCTTACTGAATGGGAATGTGACAGTAAAGAACTTGCTTCATTTTATTTAATTCTGCACCACAGAAAGTTTTTAACCGTGAACATATCTTTTATAGGAAAAAAATTTATTATTTTTAAAAAGGGGGGGGAAAAAACCCTGAGTTCAAATAGTCGGTTCAAACACTGTTCAAACTGTTTCAAATAAATAAAGATAAAAATAAAAAGGATCACAAACATCCCTTCCATAGTACTTTCAAACAAATCTTTTGTGAATTATTGGAGGCTGTACTTATGGTCCTCTCTTTTGGTGTTCAACTGACTCTGCAATTTGAAGAAAATCTCTAATTAATTACAGATTTAAAATTTAAATCTCTGCTGGTCATAGCTATGATGAAAGTGTTGATCTTTGTCCTGGTCCTTGATAGATAATATTATTCCAAGGAAAAAATGCTTATCCGCTGAAGTCATGGCATTTGGAGCAAACAAGATATGGCTGTATGAGCCACCCATGAAAACAGCAAGGTATAATTTTTAAGAACATTTTTGTACCTGTAAAACAAACTTTTCTGTAGCAATCATTAGCTGGCAAAAATCTAACAACAATCATATTTTTTAAAAGCAGCAAACCCACATGGTGGCTCATGCCTGTAATCCCAGCACTCTGGGAGGCTGAGGGAGGAGGATCACCTGAGGTCAGGGGTTTGGGACCAGCCTGATCAACATGGAGAAACCCCTGTCTCTATTAAAAATACAAAACTAGCCAGGTGTGGTGGTGCATGCCTGTAATACCAGCCACTCAGGAGGCTGAGGCAGGAGAATCGCTTGAACCCAGGAGGTAGAGGTTGTGTTGAGCTGAGATCGTGCCCATGCAAATTAAAATCTATGTATAGTATACATGGAAGAACAAAATCCAAGACTGCATTTAACCAGGAATGTAGCCTATGGAATTCAGACTCTGCTTGGGACAGCGTATTAGGTTCCAAACCAACAGTGTGACCTAACAATTAGCATCTCTGGACTCAGTTTACCATCTGTAACAGTCTGGTAAGGGAAATAGCTATTAAAAAAAAAAAAAAAAATCAAGGGTTCCCTAAACTGACTGCCCATCTAAAAATCACCTTGAGCGAGCTCAGTAAAAGCCCAGATGAAAGCTCTCCTCTGGGTGACTCCTATGTAGAGCAATGCTAGAACATTTCTACACCAGGTGGTCTTGAAGGCTTCAGCCAGCTGAAAGACACGGGCTCCTACTATGGTTAAAAAAATTTATCCAATATCCTAGCTTTCTCTCTTGGCCTCCTCTTCTCTGCTAGAGTTAGAACAGCTTTCATTTTGCCTACTAGAGTAGATAGTGATGGGTAGGACAGTGTAAAATGGGTCAAGGATTTCTCCAGGTTTTTCTCCCTACTTGCTAACTCTGTCTGAAACACAGATAATATTTGCAATGATATTTCCAGTGTCTGTAAGTAAAAATTTATTAGAACACATTCATACTCACTAATTTATATGTTTTCTGTGGCTGCTTTCACACTACAACAGTGCTGAGTAGCTGTGACAGAGATCACATAGCCCACGAAGCCAGACATCATGGACAAGTTTTATTAGTATTAAAGAGAAATATTGCATAAAATATTTTACATATTAAAAATGGTTAATGTCAACACCATAGGTTGTTATACTGAAAACAATAAATTTAACAGAATATTCTAGAAATTGATTTAAACAAGAAATAAGAATTTATGATATGGTAAACCAGAAATAATACAATAATACAAAAAAATGTGACAGAACAAATACACACAGATCTATGTTCAATGCAAATAAATCTAAGTAGAAATTAACCTGGATTTGCCTTCCACTCTCTAATCAACATATTAAGCCAAGAATTTGTTTTCATCCTTCTCCTCATCCCATAAAAAGATGAAGAAGAAAAGCAGAATGATTTATTATTTTAGGTAAGGAAGAAAGCAAAAAAAATTTTTTATCTCCAATCCTGCAGAAGCTATTTCTTACTCTTAGAGAAACAAAGCTATTAAAATGAAGGTAGATGTGACTTTTAAAAAATCCAGCATAAAAGTAGGAAGATGCAAGACTGCATACATGCAACACTACTTTCCAAAACTCTCCTAAAATGATAGTAAAGAAATAAAAGGATATAAAAACACAAAGAGAATGAGAAGAAGAGACAGATTCAAAGTTTTAACTAAGTTTATTTGTAATAGGGTGGTGAGAGCCGAAACCTAAGTACTTCAGAAAGGAATTCCCACGAGAAGCAACTCCAGCAGAGAAACTCAAGAAGTCCAGCAATTCCTAACACCTTTCTGCTAGGTTTCTATACCAGGCTGTGGCTCCCTGTGGCTAAGAGTGATTTTTACATTTTGCAATAGTTGAGGGTAAACAAGTCAGAAGACCAGTATTTCAAGACACATGAAAATTCTACGAAATTCAATTTCCAGGCTGGGTGCAGTGGCTCACGCCTGTAATCCCAGCACCTTGGGAGACTGAGGCGGGTGGATCACCTGAGGTCAGGAGTTCAAGACCAGCCAGGCAACATGGCAAAACCCCATCTCTACTAAAAATACAAAAAATTAGCCGGGCATGGTGGTACGTGCCTGTAATCCCAGCTACTTGGAAGGCTGAGGTAGGAGAATCACTTGAACCCCAGAGGCGGAGGTTGCAGTGAGTCAACATTGCACCATTGCACGCAAGCATAGGTGACAGAGTGTGACTCTGTCTCAAAAAAAAAAAAAAAGAAAAATTCAATTTCCAGTGTCCATAAGTAAAATTATATTGGAATACATTCACATTTACTAATCTATATATTTTCTATGGCTACTTTCATGCTACAATAGCAAAGCTGAGTGGTTGTGATAGAGATCACATCACTCACAAAGCAGGAAATATTTACTACTATCTGGCCCTTTGCAGGAAAAGTTACCATCCCCTAGTCCACGTTACTCTCTGAACCTAGGGGCACTAGAGTGCAGTAGGGATCAGGCAGAGGTCTACATACGGAACACTGAGAACCCAGGCTTCTCCCACAGGTTAGTTCCCAAAACCCTAGTGGGAAGGCCTCTATAATCCCCAAGCAGCAGATGGAGAGCTAGGATCTATACAACAGACTTAAAGATACTGAGAATTCAGGCCCTTTACGGCAGAGCCTAGTTAGCTCTCAATGAACTTTTCATGCCTCATTCAAATATAAGTTAGCAGCCGAGGATCACCATGCATTTCAATAAAGTCTCCATCATAAAAGAGAGGCCAAAACAAACAAAAAATAGAATCTGAAGGAAACAGACACAATGCAGAGGCTTTTTTTTTTTTTTAATAATAATAAATACAGGTATACCTCCGAGATATTGAAGGCTCTGTTCCAGACCACTGCAAAAAAGCTAATACTGCAGTAAAGTGAGTCACACAAATTTTTCAGTTTCCCAGAACATATAAAAGTTCTATCCATACTATATTGTAATCTATTTTGTGTACAGTAATAGCACTGTCTAAATACACACACACACACACACACACACCCCTTAATTTAAAAATACTCTATTGCTAAAACATGCTGATGATCATCTGAACCTTTAACAAGTCATAATCTTTTTGCTAGTAGAGGGTGTTACCTCAATGCTGATAGCTGCTGACTGATCAGGGTGGTTGCTGAAGGCTAGGGTGGCTGTGGCAATTTCTTAGAATAAGACAACAA